TGACACAAAGACACAGAAAACAAGTCATATATATAAATGCCATTGTAGGATTATGCAACTTAAGTTCTTAGAAGGAATCTGTGGATCAGGTCAGGGGCCGTACCGTCTCCATCACAAACCATACGACTCTGCCCTTCTAATTTAAAACCAGCCACAGTCAGTACGTAATGAGTGGGCATGACTGTGTGCCAATAAAACTTTATTTACAAATGCAGATGGCAAGCTGGATTTCACCTGTGAGCTACAGTTGGCTGACCCCTTATGTAGATGGTACATGCTATAGATCTCATAAAGGAGTTGAATTTAGGCTGGAGCAGTTGGAGGGAGCTTTGGGATTGCTGAGTTGAGCCTGAAGGAAGATTTGAGATGGGTTTACAAGAGCCTGTGTGACCTGGTCCCACCTCCCCAGCCTCTCCTGGTATTTCCCTCTTGGTCAGGACTCTCCCGCCACAATGGCGCCTTCTTCCTAGGCTTCGGTTACACACAAAGGTTACTCCTACTCTAGAGACTTCGCGCTGGCTGATCCTTCTGCCTGGAAGCACTCCCCCAGCTATCCTCCCGGTTGGCTCCTTTGGTCGGAACTGATCTCCTCGTAGATATTACCTCTCCCCAGCGGCTTCGCTGAGGAACACGCCAAAGGAATTCTCCGCCAACCCCTTTGTCACATCACCCCATCTTAATTTCCTAATGGCATTTATGGTTTCTGAAATCGTCTTGTTCATTTATGGGTATACTTGTCTATCATCCATGTCTTCCTGCTCTCCTTCTGCAATGTAAGCTCCACAACTTGGGATCAACGTTTGTATGGTTCACTGCCTGCACATTCTCGGCACCCAGACCATGGCTTGAAAAGGAGCAAGCAAAAATTACTTGCAGAGACACCGCTTTGGGAAAGCAGATGTTTTCCTTACTTGCTGCAAGTAATAAATCCTGCCTTCTCTGGAAAAGAAAAAAGAAAAAAAAACCTTGCAAAAGTGAAGGAAGAAGGGAGGCAGACAAGGAGAGAGGCAAAGAGGGAGACAGAAAATGTAAGCATGCCACCATTAGGTGGTATTAATTTTCTCTTGTTGCATTAGGATGGCCCATCATTCAGTGCCCATGACACTATTTCAACTAAGAAAGCATCTTCATCCTGTAATTAGAGGATGATGGCACCTGGTTATGGTCATTCCTTGTCAGAGACAGGTCTTTCTACTCCTGAACCATGACATATGGTTTAAGTTATAGCCTGGCTATCCCCCAAATAGAAAATTGCACACTAATCCTCATTTTCTTCTCTCAAAAATAAAGTTCTCGGGCTTCCCTGGTGGCGCAGTGCTTGAGAGTCCGCCTGCCGATGCAGGAGACGCGGGTTCGTGCCCCGTTTCGGGAAGATCCCACATGCCGCGGAGCGGCTGGGCCCGTGAGCCATGGCCACTGAGCCTGCGCGTCCGGAGCCTGTGCTCCGCAAATGGGAGAGGCCACGACAGTGAGAGGCCCGCATAACGCAAGAAAAAAAATAAAAATAAAAATAAAAAAAAAAATAAAGTTCTCCACTGGAGTTTCATGCTTAAACATACGCATTAAAAAACAAATAATCCTCTTTTTCTCTAACGCATACTGTTGTTAAACCCGAAGCTTTATTAGACTGATTTTATTGCTGTTTCTTTAACGTTTACTGGGTCTAACCACCCCACGAAGCTCGTGCAGGCAAGCAGGACATCTGGCTTGCCTGTCATCAACAAGTGCCCAGGCTGCTCCTTTATCTGCTCCAGCTTCCCTTTCTTACAAAGACTTCCATTCCCCTAACCACTAGGACCAGTAATAGGAAGGTTTTCTCAGACAGCTGCAAGGTTAGTTTTTTCTTTGGATTTGCCTAAATCTTTTCTCTCTGTGCAACTGACCCAGAAAGACACAGCAACCTTGACTAGATCACAGTAGTAGCTGCAGCACATGACTCTCCTTTCTTTTCAATGGAAAGGGAGTAACATTTCATGCCCTGGCCCCTAAACAAACTGGTATGCTTTCCTTGAAAACAATGTAACCAGCCACTGCCTCCTCTTTTGCTTTCAAATTTAAGAGACATAATAAAAACTGTGGCTCAAATTATAGCGACTTTGCTGGCCCTTATTGTTCAGCCGCAGTATTTTTCTTCTCCAAAGTCTTGAGGTTCTGTTTCTTTACATTTTTCCTGGAGCTAATTTCTGTATTATTTTACATGTAATTTATTGTAGGCTACCTTTCAGTGTATGAATAATGTATTGATTTTTAAAACCCATTCCAAAGCAAATCACTTCCATAAACTTCTTAGCTGATATCATTTGAAAAATATGTTTAATTGAAACATATACACATTAAGTACTTCCCAGCTGGTTCCCTTAGCCACAGTTGCAGCCTGTTTCTAGTATAAGACCAAGTTTCTACCATAAACTAACTTTGAAAAAACAAAACACCTAAACAAAGCTGCCATGTTTTATTTCATAAGCATTATGAGCTTATAAGTTGTCATTGGTCTCTGACATAGTTCAGAGAGCAACACATATGAGCTGTGCATCAGTACTGAGAAATGGCAAGCATTGGCTGCCTCCTCTGTGACCCTCAGCTGTACCAACTTAATTTATAAGATGTAATTACTGAGCCAATAATGAGGTCCTGAGTATGATCATATCTTTGCAGTGACTCACCTGCCAATGGAAGGAAAACAAGACTGTTCTCAGCATTTATAATTTCCCTAAGAAGTCTCCCTGTTGCTATGGTGATGTGGATGGGTTTTTAGCTAAAAAAGCAAAAACTCTACATTGCTACTACCATAATTAATAAATGGCAAATGGATCAGACGTGATGGATGACAAAGGTGTCATGGGACTATAGTTGTTCAGTTCTACAGGTGCCACAAGATCATACAGAGAGAGACAGCATCAAAGATGGTCATGGCAAGACCCCAGGAGCTGCTGGGCTGGAACTCTGCCCCTTTGTAGCTGGGATGTTGGGCGAGTTACATAACCTCAGGTTCCTCATTTGTAAAATGGGGATAATAATAGTGCCCTTACCTGTGCGGATCAAATGAGTTAACATTTATAAAGCCTTTAGAACAGTGCCTGCACATAGGAAGCACGATTTAAGAGTTTGTTAAATAAAATAAGCTGCATAGTGAAGCTTAACCAAACTTTATTGGTAGTTTTCAGCATTAGAACCTACAAACCACTGTTTTCAGGTCCAGGAACAGTAGCATCTCTTCAGTCTGATGTTTCTAGATATACGTTTTCAAATTATATAGATAAATGTATAAATTAAGGAGGAAAGCATAGTGCTTTTAGTGGAATGTCTGTTCTCAGTTCCTAGAACCGATAATGTTTAAAAATCTGTGTCTACTCTGTGTGTGTATCATTGTGGACAGTTAACACTTTAGATTTAAAATTTGTATGTTATTAATCATAAATTTTAGATTAAGTAAACACTTATCTTTGAGTTAAACCAAAAATGCTTTGGACCCTAGGGCTGCCATTTATCAGTTATGTGTTCTTTGGCAAATTTCTTAAGCTCTCTGAGCTTCTGCTTCTCATCCGAGAAATACAGAAAAATACAGAGTTGTTGTATCGATGAAACAAGATCCTATAAGCAAATTTCTTAGCATAGTTAAATGTTAATAATGAAACATGGCATTATTTAATGGATAATCAGTGAATAGTTAGCATGAAAATATTCAATACCTTTTTACCTTCTCAGTGCAAACCTGGCCAGTTCTCGGGAGTCCTTCCTGGATCCTCCTTCCCTATCACCATTACGGATAACTCCTGTTCCTAGTGTCTCCTTAATGCATAGTCCATCTACGGCACCACATCTGAAACTTGCTAACATGTTGACTTGGAACTGTTGCCAAATTTTTGTATGCTCTGTCTTCTCATCTCTGTTATCAGCTTGTTGAGGGCAAGAACCAGCCTCCCCATTTTCTGGTCTCTTTTAATTAAGCCCTGTGCAGTGTTCTGTGCACAGTACATAGGATGTTTTTTACTTCTTAATGGATACAAAGAGTGGCCATTATTGTGCATTTCTTTTACCAAATGGAGGAGATATGAGACCCTAGGTTGGGTCCCTGTTGAACTGGGGAATCTAAGAACTGAAAATAAGGTCAGAAAGAAGCCCTCGGTAGCACAGTGTGGTGCCCTGC